GCGGCAGGAGACGAACGATTCGTTAGGATATCTACGATTCATGTGATTGTAAATACATAGCGTATAAATAACGTAACGTTAATTAATGATATGCCGTACGTGTTACACTAAAGAAACAAGGATTACAACTAACTAACGTTACTGTGTAATTTTCCGGATCATAAATCGACACGCATTGGAAAATAAATAATGGGTCTGGCCGCCCGTGCTAACCGGCTCGGTAGTCACAATAATACGGCATCGGAGGCCAACGAGAGGCGATCGAGAGTGGACGGGAGGAGGGAGCGGTACGACCAGGTTGACGACGCGCATATACGTATACGATGTTCTCACCCCGCAAAGCGGGCGCGGGAGGAACGGGACGAGGGGAAGAAACTCGCGGTTGCATCAGCCGAGTCGAAACTTCGGCCTCGCGTTAAACTCTACAAAATTCGTCGAACTTGAGGAGCCGGAGGTGGATAATCTTGAGGGTGCATCACGAGCTACCGCGGGCTATTTCCTCAGCCTCGCGCCGCGAATAATTGTCACTCCACGCCGTTCCTCTCGGAACTCAAAACTCGCTGTCTTTAGAAAAAGAATTTACTCGAGAGAATTGTTCGGTATCTTCGCAGTCATCTCGAGGTTTCCCACCTGCGCATAATCTTCATTCAATCTCAAGCCCATGTCGGCTACGCAGTTCACCTCTGACTGCTGACAGAGTGTGTGCGATGATGAGCAAATATTAAATAATTAATACGGGGGACAATGGGATTAACGGAGGCAAATCAAACAATAAGTTTCCTTCTTCGCGATCTCTTTGTTCCTCTGTTCTCATTGGCGTTGGAAGTGGAATATATATCTGAAATATATATCTATACGTCTGGAAATATATGACGCCGCCCACACCTCCCCCCCTCCCCGTCCTGCGACCTCAATGCCGACGCAGCGACTCGGTGGCGCGTCATGGCAGTCCGCACATACCAGCAGCTCGTGACACTCGTATAGACACGATTTAATCGGGAAAAAAGGACGTGCCAATTACCGCGATATCGCCAGCGGCCCGATTGAATAATTAAATAATTAAATATCTCAAGAGTCGACGAAACATTTCGCGTCAGAGCAGTGCAACGCCCGGCTACAGAAAAAAAGCGCGAGAAAACCATCCCAGTGAAAAAAGTCAACCCGTCCCCACCCATCGATCGTGGGCAACGCTGTTACGCGTTGGCAAGATCATAACAATCGAAACGGTCCGACAGCTTCGAACGAAGATGACACGCCGTATACTTTCCCGGCTGTTTGTTACGTTTCTAGTCGACGAGCGACGCGATTTGTCAATTCAGTCGGGCAATTAAGACGGCATCGCGTTATTTAACACGTGCGTCGCTGGTCGAATCGTATCCACACGAGTATCAGCGCTGGCGGGTGTTGACGTCACGATGGCCATCCAGCCGGGATGACGCAGGACACCGGAAATTTAGGCCGACTTTCATAGCCCGTGTTTGACAGATAATCAGGGCTCCATAAATCTCCGCTTGTTTGCCAATCGATATATATATATATATATATATATATATATATATATAACTGTATTCGTTGCATTGTTTCATGCAAGAAACATTAATTACCAGCCGAATGACGGTTCGTAAATACGAGTCCGTAATTAATTATGTCGTCAATCGGTGATCCCCAAATAATTCACACCTACGAACATCGGTTTTGAAAAGTCGCGTGAATCTCGCAAATTCATTCACTTGTTCTAATTGTGTTTTTTGGGTTGCCAGTCAAGCAGCGTCTCAACGTCTAAACCAGCATCCGGCAGAGCTTTATTCTCGTTTCTCTGCAACCTTGCAAAATTAATAAGTAGAATGCAAAATTAAATCGAGAAACATATTATTAGACATGAGTTATCTTTGCATCAACGACGTTTTCTTCGTCAATTCTAAGAGCACCGCATTCCATCGAGATTTCCACCGTCATAGAGGAGGAAAAACTTTCATGAGAATAAAAGTTTATAATTTCTAACACGTCTTTTTCATCTTTTCATCCTCATTAGATTATTCAATATTCTCTATCTCGTCTATCTCACGTACTCTGTCATGCAACAGCTGAATAAGTAATAAAACGAATACATTGAAACCAAGAATAAGGACTTAATGCAGGTACAGATTGAGATGACTAAATATTAGATAATTCTACTTCGAGCTTCTTCAATATAGAGTAATCGATAAAATGAAGTAACCATTTATATCTTGAAGGTGTAAGCAGCTCGTACGGTGTTACGTCTCGATATTATTCTCCACCGGTCCTTCAAGTCGAACGAAATTTGCGGGGTTAGTGTCGAACCAAAAGTTCGATTCGCAACCTCGTGAAGATGAAGTCGCGATGAAGGGTCGCGCGAAATATCCTTCCGCCGAGTTTCTCCTGGTGTGAGACTATCGGCTCGCCAGGGCGCGCCGTTGTTTTAGCGTAGTTGTTCGCGGCGAGGAAGCGGGAGGAAATAGAGGGAGGAAAAGGCGAGAGGAGAGGCCACGAAGATCGGAAACGGCACCGGCGCGCGTGCTTTTTTCCAGGCGCGCCGGTGCGCACGGGCGTGCGCGGGGAAGAGCGGAGCGCGCGTTCTTTCCGCGAGCACGCTCGCTTGTGGATAGCACGGGCCGGCCACACGCGACTAGATGTAACACTAATTAACGCCTAGCGTAAGAGAACTAACGGATATAAAAGTGCAGATATATTGTCGGACGTAAAATAGCCCACAGGGGGTGATTGCGAGCGAGCGAGTAAGCGAACGAACGACAGAGAGAAAGAAAGAGAGTATGTGTGTGTGTGTGTGTGTGTGTGTGTGTGTGTGTTTCAAGCTCGAGGGATGCGAAAGACGCGCGCTTGGAGCTTTAGGGTGCTTGCGTTGCGTGAAAGTGACAAAAAGACTGAGCGATAGAGAGAGAGAGAGAGAGAGAGAGAGAGAATGAGAGGAAATTAATTACACATGTGCATAACGTACGCACATACACATGTACACGTACACGCAAACTGCGAGCGGTCGTTGGATTGACGTATCGAGCCGTTGGTCAAATGACGCATTTTAAGATAAAAAAAGAAAGGGTCGATCGCGGGGACGCATCTTTTCTCACATTGTTTCTGCCAGTTCTTCTTGCCGCGCCTCGCGCGTAGGCGATCGCTCTAATGCCGGCCGGACGGGAAAAGGGCCCGAGAAGCAGGTCTCGAGACCGTCGCGAATTGTAACTTCGCCGCCCTTTTCTCCGACGCCCTTAACGAGAGCCAGCCTCCCCATCGCGGGGTGGAAGAAGGCACAAAACGATGATTCCGCGCTCGTCCCCGTCGCCCTTTTGCTTCACCGCGAGAAGAAAGAACGGCAGCGAGCGAGCGAGCGAGCGAGCGAGAGAGAGAGAGAGAGAGAGAGAGAGAGAGAGAGAGAGAGAGAGAGAGAGAGAGAGAGAGAGAGAGAGAGAGAGAGAGAGAGAGAGAGAGAGAGCGGTAGTTATTCTACTTAAGCGAGGATGGAGGTAGATGAGACGGCGGGACGGCGAAACTGGTTATAATAGACGTCGTCTAAGATATTCTAACGTCGTAGACGCAGCATTGAATTTTTGTACCAAAATCTATTATAGTCCTTAAGTGTCGCGTAACACTTCTTTCCGTTCGACCGTCGCCGACCGCGTTGCGGGCTTTACGCGTGCTTACATTCTCGGTTCTGTCTAAAGACAAGTGGGAGAGAAAAATAGCGAAAAAAAAAAAAGAAGAAACGGAGGAAGGGAACGAGAGAGGGCGTCGCGCGCGGGAACGGAGTCGGCTGAGGATGAAACTCGCTCGCGTCCGAAGATTTGTACATGCACGGCCTCGTCGCGAGGCTCTCCGTCGATTGCTCCGCGTCGCCGCGATCGCGCGAATTTCTCGGCCGGGGAAGCTCCTGCGAGCTTCTCGCGCGTGCGTGATAAGTGCGAGGAACTCGCGCGACACGGAGAACCGAGAGCTCGGCGAGGAAACTTGGTGAGTCCTCTCGGCGATTAAACGAGCTCCGGTCCGAGCGCGATCCGCGATCGCCCGGCGACGCGAGGAACGCGCGGGCGCGCGTCTGCCGATTCCCGGGAGTCGCGGCGCGAATTTCAAAGTGAACGAACACGCTTTGTTTCGAGAGTGATGCTTGACCGTCCTGACAGTACGTCGATGTGCTCTTACGCGTAGATAACACGAGTTAGATGTTTTTCGATAGTAGGCTATGCGAAAAAGGAAGAGAGGAAGAAGGAGCGCGCGCGAACGGCCGGTAACCGCGCCGTCGGACAGAGAGAGAGAGAGAGAGAGAGAGAGAGATAAAATGAGAGAAATGAGGAACGCGGGAGAAGCAGTGACCCAGAAATAGATCTCTATCAGTCGCGGGGATTCCAATTCCGACGTGATCCATCCTGTTGCCGCGCCGTCGAGCGGTCTCGGAGAATTCTTTGTGAACGCGGTAGGACATCCTCCGGAAATCGATTACGCAGCTCCGTCGAAATGAAAGGGAGAGGGGAAGGACCGGGAGAGAGAGAGAGAGAGAGAGAGAGAGAGAGAGAGAGAGAGAGAAGAGGAGAGAGAAAAAGTGAAACAGGTCACCGGAAAAGCGGTCTCGAGACGAGGAGCGAGCGAGATGTTGTCGCGGAACTTTCTCGACGCGACGCGAACGCCGGACGTCGAAGATCGCGAGATAGGATCCACCGGCTCGGGGAGGAATGCGCACTTTGCTTCTTGGCGACTTCAACCCCCACGCTTCCGCGCGTCGCGATTATTACGCAATCGTGATTCCCCGACGAAATGCCGACAACAGGTCGAGATCCGAGCGCCGATTCGTCGAGAGAACGAGTGCGTCTCGCTCCTCGCTCGCTCGACCGGCCGGATGTTCGTCCTCGAGGAGGCTGTGGGAGGGTTGGAAGAGCGAACGAACGAACGAACGAACGAACGGCAAGGACGAAGGATCGTTTGTCGTCGATCGACAACGAATACTTCTTCATTATCTCGTCGCCGATAACATTCGCGTGGAATACGCCGTGCAATCGCCGCGTCGCGCGGTTGCCGTTGCACGCGAGACGTCGTAAGAAGCTCCCGAACGTACGACTCGGAAGACTCGTCGAGTATCACGCACGCCGGGAGGATTACGTTACTCGTGATTCGGGTCGTCGTCGCGCGTTACGACCGATTCCCTTTTCAACGCGAGATTTCTTCTGTTGCACCCCGTTTGGACGAGCGAGTTGATGATGAGAGGCATCGTAAATCAGGAGCTTCAAGCAAGAAAAAGCAAGGAAGTAAAAAGGAGAGGAGAGAACAAGCCATCGCGATGACAAATTGAGTTCGACAGCGTTCTTATTTACCGTTAAAAAAAAACGAGGTCCTACGTTAACGAGCACGTTTCGTTGACGGCACGCGACAGATCAACACGTAGTAAGGGGTCTAATTAATCGTTAACGCAACACACGTCTGCCGATTCGAACGCTCGACGAAGGTGAATCTAGGCGAAGGGGAGCGTTATACCCGCGGGAAGTGACGTTAGATTAGGAGCGGGGGGGGGGGCGATTGTGCAACGCGCGCGCGTATAGCGCGGGATGAAGAAGAGGGCGGATGCTGGAGGGCGTGAATTTGTCGAGCGCGCGGATAAGCGGACATCGATTTAAGAGTAAGCGTATAAGTTAAAGAGAAACTGCAGAGAAGAAGAGAGACACTGAAGATATAAATATATATTATATATCCCTCGAGGCGAGCCTCGTCTCGTAGATTCGCATCTGTACACCTTAAGCACTTTAGGGTTTAACGAGAAAATAGACTTTAACGAATCTACGAGATGATGCCGAGGGAGGCGAAGGATGTTTCAGAGCGTGTGACGAACAATGCGGGAGAATCTGCGAGAGTGCGCGAGCGAGTGAGAGACAGAGAAAGAAAGAGGGAGTAAGTGAGAGAGTGAGAGTGAGAGAGAGAGAGAGAGAAAGAGAGAAAGAGAGAGTGCGTCTGAATAAAAAAGAGCGAAAGGAAGAGAGAGAGAGAGAGAGAGAGAGAGAGAGAGAGAGAGAGAGAGAAAGAGAGAGAGAAAGGGAGAAAGCGCGAGATGCAGAGCGAGCGAAAGCGAGATAATAAATCAATGTTAAAAACCCATCATTACACCGACTCGCAAAGTCTCGGGAGACAAAAATCTTCGTTGACTGCCGTTTCTATGCGCATAAGTTCAGTCTCGGTTTCGAAAGCTCGCGGACGCGGGGAGGCGCGCTCTCGATCATGCCGACCGGCCGGTCGCGGCCGCGGAAACGATGCGCGATCTGCGTTTATCAGCGGGCGAAGCGATCACAAGCGTGCACACGCACGCACACATACATGCACGTACACATCCACATACACACCAACACACACGACACTCTCCGTCGTCAAGCGCAACCGTGACCGACGTCCGCGTCCGCCGAGCGGGAAAACCCTTTACATACGAGTTTCCGCATCCTTTTACGTTTTTCGACTATCGTGGCGAAGCGGGACGAAGAAGAACGGTCCCGTTCTATGTGTGTAAGAACCATAAAGCTTAATAAAAAAAAAAAAAACATTATACTATGAACTTACGGGATACTAAATAAAAGTAAGCCAAACCGTTAAGAGTACAGCGAGTTTTATTCTCTCGTCTCGGGAGACTCTCTTCGACGTGTTATGTTACATGTTACGTTACATGTTAGACGCAGACGAGGGATTCCGTCGAGAGCTCAAGAGGACAACGTGAGACCGGCAAACAAACGTCCGTATACAAAATACCATTATTACACAGAGAATCGTGTTGGAAGAAAAAGAGAAACGAAAAGGAACGAACGTTAAACGGAATCGTATTAAATGCGTCGACTGGGAAGACGCGACATCCCGTCGAGCCACTCCACGACGTGCGTGGGCATCACAGGTTTTCAGCGATGGTGAGCGAGCGCGTTCACTCGAGCTTTTTGTTTTTGTCGCGCGTCTTCATGCAGTTGAGGATGATCCTCTGGAAGGAGACGAGATAGAACGCGCTGACGAGTCGCATCAGGCCCATCAGCGACGCCTGCAGCAGCAGCTCGCTGATCGACGTGAACGGCGACATTCCGGCGCACAGCGTAGTCAGGATGAAGCCTTCTTGACCCACAGTGGAGAAGAATTTCCCCGCCTGGAATCAGAGTGTTTAGCCGTTTCCGACGCGAGGAGAGGGAACACTGAAACGTCACGAGACGACTCAAAGATGTCTTCGAGACTTCTCTGAGACACCTTTCAGACTTGCCTGCCCTCGGGCAACGTAAATTTCTAAAATAATGTCTGCAAAATGTCCGAGAAGAGTAGAGTGTTTTTTAGGGTTTTTTACGGTGCCTTTAACACGTTGACTGTTGACTTCCCTCGATTATATATACTTTAATGTAGGATTAAAATTTCCACCGCTTGTAACAGTCAACATGTTGAGGCGTCTTTAGAGATTTGCGATGTCTGAATTAATGTATGAAGGATTGGAAGGACGCGTATATCATCTGTGTACCGACCCGCGCATCCTTGAACAACTTCTCCGCGACTACTGCGGGATCGGCCAAGCCCGCCGTTTGCGAGATGAGATGCGTCTCCAGCGGTTTTATCTGCTGTTCCGTCGCGTACCCCGGCGTGTCCGTGTCCGGTGGCAAGCTCAGGGTCACGGAGATGTTGTACGGCCGCAATTCCATCGTCAGGCTTTCCGCTAAGCCGCGAAGCGCGAATTTCGTGCTGCTGTAAGCCGACAAACCGTAGATGCCTGAAACGAAGATCAAGTCTCCTCTCGTTACTTTCGGAGAACGCGAGAGACGCGGAGGATTATTCTCTAAATTTCATCGGAAACGAGCGGGAACTCGCTTGAAATTTCGCGCGCGAAATTCTGCTACGGAAAATTTGCCCCAAAGTACGGGTTACACGCGCGCGTACCCAGAAGAGAAGCCTGAGAAGCCGTGATCACGATCGCTCCTTCTCCGGCGGTCTTCATTCGCTGCACCACCGCCTTGATGCAGTAATACGTGCCGACGAGATTCACATTGATCATCTCGTGCAGGTTTTGGATCGAAGTGTCCTCGATCTTGCCGGGGGTCGCGAACCCGGCGCAGTTGATGAGCATATAAATTGGCCCCATAGTCTTCTCGAGATCGGCCAACGCCTTGTCGACGTTCTCGTAGTTCCCGCCAATGTCCAACGACAGGTACTCCACCATTTGTTCGTCTTTATTTGTGCGGGAGTTCAGTATCTCCTTACGGGCGACCTCCAACTTGACTACGTCCCTGGCGATTATGGTCACGTTCGCTCCATGTTTGGCGGCGATGATCGCTACGTGTTTCCCGATACCGCTGGAACCACCTGTCACCTGCAAGAAAAATTTCCGCCCGCGAGCGGTGATTAATCGCTGCGGTATTTCTTCACCTCGTCATTCGTAAATCTCGTCATTCGTATTCAAGCGACTGACGCGCTGTTCGCAAATCTTGCCTTTGTTTCCCTTCTTTCACGAGCCTTAATTCTGTCCCTTCTCATCTCCTTTACTTTTGTGCATATTTCCTTTACTTTCGTTTCTTCGGTTTTATACTTCTATTCTCTTTATACTTAAGATGCTTCTGTCCCGTTTTTGTGTTAGTTGTGATTCAATTGCTGACTAACGCGCTACGTTCTCTCTTTCGTTTTTTGAGCAGGAAGTTTTTATCCGCCAATTCTGGACATGTCAATATTTAGCAAAGTGCGTCGTGCATACTATACTACATGTCGCTCTTTGGAGGTTAGACCGCGCGAACTTACCACAATGTGCTTGTTCTTGACATTTTTCAACCGCCCAGTCCAGTAGAAATGTTTGATTATTAACAGAACTATCGCCAAGACAAATGTCACGAGTCCCAAACCCAATAAAGCGCTCATAATCGCTTTAGATTCGTCTCTTCGTTCCTCACTAATTCACTTCGATCAACAGGCGCTTCGCCACTAGACGCCACAGAACGTAACACCGTGATACCAATTGCGCGCATGCGTCGAATTCGAGCGCTGGTAGACGACCGGAAACACCGACGAGGTAATGGCCGTTTTCCAGCCACTGAAATATATACTAACTGGAACGAGCGCTAGGCCTGAGGCGCGAATAGAGAGAGAGAGAGAGAGAGAGAGAGAGAGAGAGAGAGAGAGAGAGAGAGAGAGCGCGTCACTGGGTCTCTAAAATAGCACTGTGTCTTTATCTAGTACAGTCCGAATCAAAAGCTAAATTGGTTTCTATATAGATATCTATAAGCAGGATCCGTCTGACGTTGCAAATGCAATTTTTTTTTAATTTTCTATCTACAACCTTCTTATAACTTTTATAATTTCTCGCTCTTCTTTTACTCTTTTACTCTTTCACTTTTTACTTTCAGCGACTAACTTTTTCATTGACTGTACTTCGTTATCTCCACTCTTGACGACACTGTGGGTCAGACAAGGATAAGAGAGGAACCAGGAAACCTCTCTCTCTATTCGCATGCAAATAATAGGATCGTCCAACGCTCGTTCCAGTTAGTATATATTTCAGTGGCTATGACACGCTAAGTTACACTGTGCTACACCGTGTAAAGTATTTGTTGTAACGCAATTTAGTTTCTTTGTGTAACACCAGAGTGCATTACGAATTGTCATTTTTATTTTTATGAGTATCTTACGGATCTATATAATAAGCATATTATTCTAAAACAATTGAAGGAATAAGAATTTTTCAAAAAATCCATTATGCAATTGCAAAACTGCAATTAATGCATTTACGTTATTGCATTGTTTACATACTAATAGTTCTGAAAAGAAGTAGAAAGAGGATGTTATATGAAGAAATTTATTCTAACAAGATATGTAAATAAAAAAAGTCCTAATTATTTTTTTTATATTTATCTTCAACTTTCGTTCAACAGGTTCCATTATGTTTCTTGGTATAAACCAGTATAATATAAAAATACATATAACAATATATATATTGTAGGTTACGTTCACACTAATTAAATACATTTATTATTGTAAATTATATTCGTACTAAAGGAATAAAAACAGTTACCATCTGTTACATAAAATATTTCGAAATATTGGTAGCACTGATATGCTTTACACGCAGCAACTCAGACTTTCGCTGTGTAGAGCAGTGTAATACTGTGTCATTGTTGGAACATTCTGTGTTGGATACATTGTGTTACATTGTGTGTCCTCTGTGACCCTTGCTGGAAAAACGGCCAATATAAAGACTGACTAAAGAGCCCCGGATAAATTTTCGTATAAACTAAAGAGGCCCGAAGGGGCCCGGAGGTAATTGAAGAGCAATGATAATACCGATTGCTTCAGCTACGTTCATGATAATACAGCTAGCGACTATTGCCGATGCGAGGTGAGGGGAAAGACAACACACCGCTATTCACGTTTGATCTCGCGGCTCCCACGTCTCTCGACGCATGTAACCAGTAGTTGCTGAATCGACTAGGCCACGCTGTGAACCGAATGGTGCCCTTTTCCAGTGCGGAAAAGGTTCGGTGTCGCCGTCAAAACTCCGTGTTGGCCGCGCTCAGGTTCCTCTCCTGTAGACGGCATTCATCCTCAGTAACGTATTCATTTTACCGGGTATCATGGTGTTAGCCCTCACGGGGAGAAAGCAGAGAGAAACAGGAGATGCTCAGTGGAAAACGCCCACAAACTGAAGGCAGTTGCAGCGAACTTGCAACAATTAATTTCACGCGTATCGCGTATCGTTAGTTCATTAATTGCACAAAGTGTCGGTCGAGAAACAAATCACTTACGCGAGCCCTAAGTAGCGAGCGCATTGCATCCAAGCACGAGCCTGTCGAACGCAACCGACACGTCACGTGGTCGAGATTCAGAGTGGATGCGTCAAGAAGAAGCGTTATCAATACAAACGCAAAGCGCTATCGAAACTATTCGTGGAACCAACAGCGCGATACTTTGACCGCCAACGTTGGGCGTCGCGAGTTCGGGAGACGCCAATAATTTGATGATTTCTATTTCCTATTTCTTCCAAAAGCGCGACACCGCGAAGCAACGGCAACTTCGACTCCGCCGCCTTCTATCTGAGAAATAATTATCCCCCGTTCGGTGTTGCATTTCCCAATCATTCCAGTCACCGCGATACACAAAATTGGCACGCCGGACGTCACACGTAAATTAGCCGGCGGCCGAGACTGACGAGTTTCGCTCGTGATAACAAACGACTTATCCGTCCGCGGTCTTATCAGCGCTCGGTCATATCAGCGCTCGCCTACTAACCTCGCGCTCTCGTCGAATCCGTTTCCTAGACTTCACAGCGAAAATCGGTCAGGGTCGCACGCCGTATCGTTTCGCACTTAACGACGTCTCTCACGTGACAGCGATTAGCTCTCTCCTCGGTACGGTTATTGATACCGTAATCGCGATAAGATAACCCAGCGCGAGATTACCAGACGACGTCGAGTCTGCTTGATCGATTTTACTCGATGGGTACGACGACGTCGGGGCCGCGGCTGCATTACCGGCCACCCGGGTGGCCGACGCGCGACAGCGGCCGCGAGCCGTGGATTCGGAAGCTCCCCGGCTCCGGAAAATCGCGCGAACCGCATTTCTCGCGAGAGATTTCGCCGGTCGCGCGTCCGCGCGTCCCTTTTCGCAGCCCAGCACGTCGCACAGCAGAAAACGTCGGACGCAACGCGAGCGAGCGCGTGAGAAGTAGAGAAAACCGCGCTGGCACGGCGCGGATGCGCTCATCGATCCTGCACTCGGCTGCGCTGCAGCCCGGGCCGCATACGTGCAGGCTGCGAAGGGCCCGCGATCTCGCGGAACGGCCCTTCGCCGCGAGGCACGCCCGCCTGTCCTCGCCAACGTCCGCCTGCTCCTCTCTCCAGCCCCTCGCTTGGCACCAAAATTTCATCGTTGCGCGCTCGCCCGTGTCCGAAGCGATCATTCAAAGCCGCGTGAGCGTTCCCGCGGAAAAAGCGGCAGCCGCGACTATCGCCGAAGCTGGCCATTGCATTGGCGCGCGCGCGCGCGCGGTTTTCTCGGGATTTTGCTTACCGCTCGAGGAAAACAGGGAGACGGACGAGGGGAGCCGAGCGATTCGCTCAATTAACGAAAAGGTCCGCGGGGGGAGGGGGGAGGAGGGGGAAGGGAAAATTGGTCCGAACGACGGCGGCGGCGGCGGCGGCTGCGGCGGGAGGATTAACTTGGCGTGTAATACGCGTACGTTTATGCATGTTATGTATCCACGCGGCGGCGCATCATTAATACAGCAGAATCCATTACAGCAGCGAAGCCACAACATGACCTCAACGATTTCAGCTCGTAATCTATTGCGGGTTAATAACCTGTTACAAGATTGATACAGCCGGGGCGAACGAGCGCACGTCGCTGCCGCCGGCGGCGCGGTTCATCGGCGAAATCGCCGCTCCGAAAAGCAGCCGGCCGTTATGAAACGCGAGATCGCATTATTTCCGTCGCGGACTGACAGACACGAGCGGCGGCCGGCGTGCGCGGTTTCGCCCGCGGGTCGGCCAACAGCGCCGGTGGCGGCGAGTACGCAAGTCCGCGGCGAGAGCGCGGAAGGTTACGCGGCTGCACACGGCGCAGCGCGATGACGTCGCCGGCGCTGCGAAGATTTCCGCCGTACGGAAACGCATGCGTCGAAAAGTTGCAGGATAAGCCCCCTGGACGTGCATTCACCCCCGTGTTAGCGTAGCGCAAACCTCCCCCGCTCCTCCCTGCCGCCCCGGCTCCGCCGGTCCTCCTCCCCCGGCCCCCACCACGTCCCCGACGTTATCCTTCGCGCAAAAGGTCACGTACCACCACCCTGTCGATCGTTCACCTCGTCCTGGGACTCGCTCCTGGTAGCCAGGTTAAAGCGGAAGATACGAAGGATACGCTCACGCACCACGGAGGGACGGACAAGCACGCGACGCGAGTGCCTACGTCGTAGGTCGCGCGAGTCCTTGAGAGTTGAAGGAGCATCGCGAGAGGAGTCGCGAGCCGGCGCGGGCGGAGCGGTGTGGATTGAAAAACCGCCGTTTGCCCTCGTCGGACTCGAGATCGAACGGCGGCAACGTCATCGCGACGCGCACGGGCGATGATTCGCGTTGCGTAGGCGCGGCCGCGTTGTATCGTTAGCGCCGCCGTTGACCGGCGCGCACTGATGGCCATCGATTATTTTCGTGCACGGCTGAAGTTTGAAAATCGCCGAAAATTCGCTGAATAAATGGGATTCATTCTCGGCGCGCGCGCGCGCGCGCGTCTAGCTCGCGTCATTGGCTGCATATCTAATTTCGCTGCACGCCATTGATTTCGTTTTACATGTAAATTATTACAATACGCAGACATATATGTGTTAATAATACATGTAATATAATACAATATTTTAGCGCCGGTCACACCGATAACGCCCATTGCGCGATCGGAAGGTGTTAATCCACGAGCGCCGAAGCGGCGAGATTAACGAGATGCAAAATCTCACTCGATCGCTCTCTCGCCTCGAAGAGCTGCTCGATGATTGCGGATGATTTTCCATCCGGCTGGGTAAACAAATCCGCAGAAACCGCCAAGAACCTCTCTCTCTCTCTCTCTCTCTGTCTCTCCTTCCCTCTTGCTCGCTCTTTCTCTCGCCTTTTCCGGCGGCGTTAAATCACTCGGAAGTGTTGACGAGGGGTGTTAACGGCGGGAGAAGATGCGCATCGCCTCGACCGGACTGCCGCCGCCGCTTGCAGCTCGTCGTCGTCGTCGTCGTCGTCGTCGTCGTCGTCGTCGCCGTCGTCGTCGTCGCTGGTGCTCGGAGCTGCGGCAGAAATCCGGTGCCGCGATTTCGGACAGAGAGTCAGCGTACGTTGCACCCAACCGAAGGGAGTGTCCCGAGCGAGCCCTCGCCTTCCCCTCGCGCCCTCTCTCACTCCCTCGGCCCTCCGCCGAGCCTCTCCCCCCGCAACCCCCGGCCAGTACCCC